CGACAAAGGTTCTGATAGTTAATAATAATAGATTGGCGCTTACACATATGTTAGTGTTTGGCCGAGCTTCTTCTCCAACTTGTGGCGTGCGCCTTGATATTGTCACACAAAGCGGAGGGACCTACAGTTTACGCCGACTCCGAACGGCGATTGTGTTTTTATGAGAAGCTGTTTTTCATGGCAGAAATACACTCGGAGGTTTGCCATTGACTGTCGAGGGACGACCGCTGTTAAGAAAAAACCTTTTTCTAAATTTTGTGCGATGTTGCTTTGACCAGGGCTTGAACCCAGGTGCTGGTGAGTGAAAGCGCGCACTGCTTACCACTACACCACAGCGGCCGACGGTTCTGATAGCTGCTCTTAGTTAATTGGAGCCTTTTGAATTCCATGGCGTCCCCAGTTTTGCCCGATTGTCTCCACGTTTGGAGATAGCGGTACTTGAACCTTTGCTTAAATTTGAACTATTATCTAAAAAAAACTCCCTTAGTTTTGAAGATGTTTTACTAAAATTTTGCACACGCTTGTATTTTAATATTTCCTTCACTATCTCATAAAATCATCGAAATCGGTTCATTCTAAAAGCTAGCTCCCATACAACTGATTGTCCTCCAACTAAGCAGGTAAAAATTTAGTATAGGTTCACTTTAACATATAGCACAATTTATTATTCAGATATGAAGTTAGAGTTATAGCGCAAAAACACATATCTGAGTAATCAGTAGTATTGGAGCTATACGTTAAAGTGCACCCATTTCGATACTTTTAAGGAATAATTAAGGTGATATTAAAAAACCGTTATGTGCAAAATTTTAGCAAAATAACTTCAAAACTGAGGAAGTTATTTATAAAATAGTTAAAATTCAATGAAATTTTCAAATACCGTTATCTCGAAAACCGGAGCAAATCTGGTAAAATGGTGACAGGTAATAAGGTCAATGGAAATAAGGTCAATTGACTTTATTTCCAACCCTGGTGCGAAATAAAGTCAATTGACATTATTACCTTTTTAAAAGCGAAATAAAGTCAACAAAAATTTGGAAATAAAGTCATTGACGCTATTTCCTCATTAAAATGGAATAGCGTCAACAATGCTTAAAGTATGTCGATTCATAGAAAAAAAATGTTGTTCTTACAATAAACATTGCCCTGTAAGTGTTGTTTTTTAATAGATGAAAAAGGTTGTTGCCAAATCCTCAGTGTTGTGATATTAATCCACACACAATCATGAACTACCACCATTTGATTTTATTAAAAAAATTTAAATTACGAATATGTAAAAACACGATGCGAAAAACTAAACGCCTGCGCACAGCTGGAATACGAGAAATATTTGAAGAAAGAGTGTAGAAATGATCCATACCTTGCAAAACATGTTTCGTTTCCACAAAAATAAAGCGAACACTATTAAATTGAAGAAACAGTCCATGTCCAAAAACCCCGGAGAAACACTGAAAGAATTCTGTGTTTTAAATTAGCATATTTTGAACGAATTCGGAATGTCTAAGTAGGAAAAGAAACCAACTTTTCTATAAGGAAACAATTATAGAAAAAGAATTTTTTTACACTGTAGTCATGGCTCCGCCAGCAATTTGTGACGACATTATTTAAAAGGAGCTAAGGAGAATGACGACACTATTTATTAGATGGCACATTCAACGAGCCAATGTGCCAAAATGCGGGTATAAACAATTATTGATTATTTAATATCGGAACCGAGATCATACAAGTTAATTGGTTGGTTTTCACACACTTTTGAAACACAAATTACATGCTTTTTTACTGCAGACAAGTTGTTGCCCCAAAACACAGCAGAAATCTTCCAATCAGGGCCGCCAACTATCCTTAGTTATGAGGTGCCATATTGAGGATAAAAAAGGGCCAAAATGTGCCAAATAGAAAAATAAAAGTGCCAAAAAAGGTGCCATTTTTTTAATTATTCCCATTTAGCAATAAAATAAGGCTACATTTTCCAAACAAAAGTGCAATGATAAAATAAGATAAACCAGTTGAATAGCCTTTATAAATTAGAAAATTATAGTTGAGAAAAAGAAGTGCACGCAAAGGATTTCACAAAAATTTATTGAAATGTAATTTTTTTTACAAAAGTGCCATTTTGGCACTTTGTGCCAAATTGAAAAATTAAGTGCCATTTGAAGTAAAATAGGGACAAATGGCACGGTTTGAGCCAAGTTGGCATCCCTGCTTCTAATAACTTACAAATATAAAAATGTGAAATATCGAGGGCTTGAATTCATTAATACCCTCTATCTGCAATTTGCACAAAAACTAATTTGTGATTTTAGAAACCATCTGGGACTTATTACCTGTCGTTATATAAGGTAGCATTAATATCACTGATGACGGTTAAATCTTAGGTGGATTTTTATATCAGAATCTTTGTGAAAAGTTTGCAGATAGAGGGTATTTTATTGAATATAAGCCCTCAATGTTTAAAATATATAAAAATTTTATTTCAATGTATACAAAAAATAAATCTACCTGCGTTACAGCACGGCGGGAGACGGGGAAGGGGGGCCGCGGCGTAGCGTGACGTGGTGTGCGCGCCGGTCGCGCGGGGTACGCGGGGCGCGCGCGGTGTGGCGCGCTGACGCGGGCCGCCGCGAAGCTAAACAAATTTAATGTTTGAAAGAGAAATAATGTCAATGGATTTTATTTCGTTTTTAAAAAGGTAATAATCCCACCAGGGTGGGAAATAAAGTCAATTGACCTTATTTCCGTTGATCTTATTACCTGTCACCGGTAAAATGGGGGATGCCATTGAATTTAGAACGTCCCAATTAAGTGAGTTCAACTTTCAAAATCTTTGCACAAAATTTACAACTTGAACAATGTAATTTGAACCCAGCTTATTCTTTTGTTTTCTATTTCATGTTTATTCCTCGTCTAACTTTGGAAGCACTTAATAAAAATGAATTACACTTGTATTAATCGATTTATTAAGAGAATACGAATAAAATGATATGTAAAACATAGGTGTGCTCACAAATTTAAAAATTAAAACTTTTTTTTTTGAGAGTGTACCTATTTTTTAGATTTGCCCATATAAATAGATAGATAATTGAGGATAAATTTACAATATCCGAAATACTTCTTTTTAAGAGAAGCGAGGAAGAGTTGGACTTTTTGGAATAAAAGAAGCTAAGGCAATGGAAATGCAACATAAAGCTTTGCCATTGCTTTAATTCCGGCAACAAGTACCAGATTTAAAATATCCGCTGTTGAAAACAGCTGCGTGCCGCATATTTTAAATTTTTGGTACAACGTAGAACTGTCAGTCTTTGTACTCTACAAGTTTCTGCAAATTTTCTATTCGCGTACTATTTTGGATATTTTTCTCTTGAGAGATGACATTTCGCCGGAATTTTGCTGTTGGACACTTTTTACTGGAGATTTTAAATGAACGTACCTATTGACTTACCAACATTTACAGAACTGTTACGAACGGCTTTAACTGACGTAAAACCAGATTTTGAAAATTCGGCCAAAGGGATCTTTTAAATTTTCTTTAAGTCGACTTAAGAAAGAATTGAGGTATATATGCTATCGTATTCTGCAAATACTGTTCCACGTGTATGTGAAATCCCCATCTCGCCAGCTAGGCTATTTAAAAAGTTATAGACGAACATATTTTGGTTTCCCCATAAGGTTAACATTACAATCCAAATGTTTAATACGTTTTTTCTCGAATTCAGGTTTTTCGACTTAGGCGGTTATTGCTTATGACCACAGTTATTTATCTTAGAATAATAATAAAATAACTATTTTTCATTTCTAATAATAATTTTATTTAAAACTAAAATTATTGTTTTTGTTTTTTTTTGTGGCTCCTAGTAGCATTTAGAATTTACATATGACTCTTTTCGGCCTTGGCCTTGCCCACCCCTGGTATCAGTGTCGGATCCAGCGGGGGAAGGGTTTTGGGGGTTAAACTACGTGTCAGTCAGTGGCGGACCCACGGGGTGTGTTTTAATACATAGACGCCATATTATACATACATATGCGCCATATTAAAACACCACTCCGCCACTGACTGATACGTTTCAACCACCAAACCAACCCGTTGAACAAGTTAAAATCAAATTATTTAATAAGTTAGATGAATTTTTAAAAGATGGATATCAGTCAAAGTGGGTTTGGATGGGATTTATGTACTTCTGAACTGTATTTAAGAGAGTTGCCACGTGTTTAAAAATCAAATTCAATTAAATTTATCAGTTAATTGAAATAGGTAGCACAATGTCAGATGAAATAGATTTAAAATGATTTTAGTTTTAAAATACCTTTAAAGAGGTTTGCGACCAGTTTATTTATTTAATTTATACACAAGTTAAATGATATATTAACATAAGTGTGAAAGAGTTTTAAGAAAACTTTAGTTTGAAAATATTTTTCATTAGGGTTGCCATCTTTTAAAAAAATTATATCTATTTAACTCTGTACATATATGTGCATACGTACATACCTATATAATATGCCAAGGCATTTTTTGCGAAGGTCATCAGATCTGCATCGTTATTACGAATTTCAAAAATAAGATGTCAAATTAAAAAACTGGGCCTGTAAGGTTTTATTATTAAAAGTTAGAAATGAAAAACGGACACCACGCGTGAACTGTCTTCACTCAGAAACGGCTGGACGGATTTAGGTGAAACATTTGGAATTTTTATTTAGGTCTCCCGTTTTTCGTTGACCCTTTCTCGGATTTGACCAGGTGCAGTATATCTTTATCAATAGCTTTCCAAAATAACCGACAGAGAGGTGGTGGTCTTACGATATGTGCAAATTCGTTTGTAGAAAATGGTAGCATATTTAACTGAATTTAGTCCTAAGTCAACTTTGATTCGTTTTTTTTAATGCATACTTTAAATATCTCGTATTTCACACGCATGCCAGTTTCAAGGGAATTTTTCATATCCGCAACTTATACGGTTTACGTGCAATTAATTACATTTAATTCAATATTTCATATCATTTCACAGATCTACTCGAATTGCCTGACAATGATGAATTTCAATGGGGTCGTCACGATAATGAAAATGCTTACAGCGAACTGCATTCTAATTCTAACGAATATAACAGTACTAGCGGCGGAGGCGATTATTTGATGCGTCACATATTGAAGAAGCGTCAAGTGATTTTTCAAGTGAGTTCAATACGAATTAGGGATGTTAATTTTTCAGCTTTTTCCGATCTCGGGATTTAGATATTCATTACTTTTCAACAACTCAAATCGAAAAAAATTTACGTCAGAATTCATTTTAAAGGACTTTGTAATTTGAAAGATATGACTGATGCAAAAAAATATTTAAAAAATTCAATGCAATGCAGAATAAAAATATGGGTACTAAATGAAAGAGGAAATTTTTTTAGAATTTAAATATGTTAACATATGCGAAATTTTAGGATACAATTTAAAAAGACATTTTCAATACTTACCTTCTGCACCAATAACTTGAATCTGCTTAAATTCTACAGGATTTCCTCTTTAATTTGATACCCATACTTCTTCTCTAAGCTTATTTCTCTAAATTTTTTAAATCATTTTTGTATTACTGACGTCAGAGTGAAAAACTAAAAACGCAATTTTACTATATTTGGCCCATGATTTCGCGAATATATTGATATTTCTGTTTAAAATTTACTATCGCGCGGAGTTATATGTATAATGAGCTAGACATTTACAAAAACTTAATTGTTAAAAAAAAAAATATAGCCAATACTGGTAAAGAAAAGGAGTTTATATTATTGCCATCAGCGCAAATTTCAAATCCCGAAAATCCCGGGCTTATTTGCCAAGAATCCCGGGATTCCGAGATTAACATTCCTAATACGAGTACTAAAAAATGTTACGCACATATGTATGTACAGTGGCGTTCAAAATAATAGCAGCAAAGTTCAAAATGATGCTGTTGGCAACTTATCTTTATTTCATTTTAAATATCGATCGATTTATATCAGATACCACCTTAGTAAAAGTTTCAAAGTTTGCCCAAAGTTCGCAAAATCTAGTTAAACTTAAAAAAATGTTTATAAAAATTTCGATGTTTATACCCGAGCGCACTTGTGCACAAGGGTATTATAACTTTGTTCGCATAACGGTTGTTTGTAACAGCCAAAACGAATCGAGATAGATATAGACAAATGTATACATAAATGATCAGAATGAAAAGAGAAATCGATTAAGCCATGTCTGTCCGTCTGTCCGTGTACAGGATAACTCGAGAATTGAGATACAGTGTTGGAAAAATAATAGAAACAACTTATTGAAAAATATTAAATCAATTATATCAACACTAGTTATATATATTTTTTGGAATGGCGCACCCTGTACAAATATCAGTTAAAGGTTGTTCTTTGTTTTGTTCCGCTAGTTTGTATCCTTTTCACTTTATGTGCGAGAGAGTAAACAATTGAATTGTTGCGCTTGGAAAAAATAATAGAAACAACACGTGTTTGCTAATATTGGTGCTTTACAAAAGGTAAATTTATTATTTTTGGCACTTCTAATTGCGTTTTTAAAAAATGTTAACTAAATTAGAGTTATACTATAGGTTATTGAAACATAAAAAATAATAAAATGGGCCGAGCTAAACACTGCACGGAAGAGGAGAAGAATTTAATAATAAGTTTAAGAAAACAAGGAAATTCGATGAGTAAGATAGTATGGTGGGCTGTTCCAAAACGAAGGTGTTCCCTGCCCTTCATAGCGTAAAAAACAGAAACACGACGTACAAAGCGAAAAATGACTGCTAACGATCAAAGGCGTTTAATTCGGCATTACAAAGTTAACAGTTTTCTGTCTTCAAGAAAGCTGAAAACAGAATTGAATGTCGATGTAACAAGCCGAGCCATGACGTACAGATTGGCAGAAGCCAAACTTTCAGCCAGAATCTCTAGAAAGGTACCGTTGCTGAGCCTTAAAACCAAAAACAACAGACTTGGTTTTGCCAGAAATCATCTTTTTTGTCAAAATGGTGAAAAATGTGCTGCAGTCTGATGAGACAAAGAGTAATATGTTTGGATAAGATGGAAAATAGTACGTAAAATGTCCTACGAACACAGCCTTTGATCCACAACACACGAAAAAAAACGGTTAAGCACAGCGGGAGTTCCATTATGGTATAGGGCTGCTTCCCGAAGGAAGAAGTTGGTCCAATACTTTGGATTAAGAACAAAATGTGCGCGCTTGACTATGTAAACATATTACAGATGATAAGGCTTTCCTATGCTAAAGAGGAAATGCCATTGCGGTGGGATTTACTGCAGGATAATGATCCTAAACATGCATCAAAACTGGTAAAGTAGTGGTTAAAGAAGGAAACAGTGCAGGCTATGGAATGGCCGCCACAATAGCCAGACCTCAACCCTATTGCGCACCTTTGGGCGGACTTAAAGAAGAGAATCGGGCCTTTTAAAGCCAGCAATAAAGACGAATTGTGACGCCACATTCTAAAATCGTGGTATTCCATTCCGAAAAGTGTTTGTGCGGCGATTCAATAAGCTATTAAAACAAAAATATTTTTGTAAGAATTTTTTATTCAAAGCTTAATTTATTTAGAAATAATACTTTGTTTCTATTATATCTTCCAGGCCAAAATTAAAAAAGGGGCCACAATTTATTTATGGCTTATTGCCCTTGCAAAAGAAGTCAAGATTTTAATTAACGTAAACGAAATGTACGAAATCGGAATGTGTTTAAAATTAAAGAGTTCTTCAGACAATAAAAAATATATGAAAGCTGTATGTTTCTATAATTTTTTCCAACACTGTATATCAACAAAATTTGGTAAGTAAGGTTTCCCTTTATCCAAGGTAGGTTGGGATTGAAAGTGGGCAAAATCGGACAACCACCTACCCTATAACGGTATTTTCGAAATATGAAAAAACCACGGTATTTCCGCCAATACTGGATCCAAATTGTTGAAAGTTGGTATGCGAAGTAGAGTTTCGGCATAAAATAAGACAGTTATGAAATTTTTGGAAAATGGGCGTGGTTCCGCCCACTCATGATAAAATGGTGTATCTCTGTAGTCCATTTACCAATCCCCACCAAACTCGATGCGAACATTGCTTAGGGCTTGACTAAGAAACCCTTTGAAAATTTTTGAAATCAGACAAGAACCACGCCCACCTCCCATATAATGGTAATTTACAGAAATACGAAAAATGCGATAAATAAGTATTTAAGCTAATTTACTCAAAATCGACATATACAGTGGCCTCTCAGCAGAAAATGCTACTTAGGGAAATTTTTGGGAAATGGGCGTGGCACCGCCCACTTACGCCTACATATGTGTATCTCGGTAACCGGTTTATCAATTTCTACCAAACTCGGTATATTTATCAACCTTGGCTCAAAAAATCCATATGTTGAGAATTTCTGAAATCGGACTAAAATTATCCCCACCTCCTATACAACGGTAAATTTCAGAAATACGAAAATTCCGATGTTTGAATATCTAAAGAAGCAAACTTACACCAACCTCTTAACAAGACACAATGTTATTAATTTTTGTCAAATTGTTGTGGCACCACCCACTTATGACCGACTACATACATATAGTGTATATTGATAGCCCCATATCGACTTCCACCAAACTTGCTCCAATTATTTCAATATCTCATAGCATATTATCGAAACTGTTTGACATCGGGAAGAATACTCTTGCGCATAATGCAGTTTACTGAAAGATGTAAAAACGATATTGAATACGTGCGCCGGATATATAAAGTTCGGTTTCCCCCGAACTTATACTTCTTCACTTGGTTTAATTAGATTTCCTAGAAAGGTTTCGAAGCTGTATAGCCAATTTTATTTTAGTATAACAAAAGTGCAAGTTCAAGTCGCTAAAAATTACCGCTGATTTTTTAGAATTCTTTTTGTGCATACAAGAAAAGCAAAATAATGCATACATGCACAGATTCGGTTCAAAAACGGAATATTGCATACGACAAAAACCGAAGTAATGCATACATGCACAGTTCCGACTCAAAGTCGAAGTAATGCATATGACAAAATCAAATTATAGTTTAAAAAACTAAAACCTCCCTATTATAATTACCAGGGAACGGATTTTTAGGACCTAAAAACCTATAAAAAAGGCAAAATAAAGTAACGAAATAGGCTGGAAAACGCAAAATAAAATAGCGAAAAAGGCAGGAAAAGGCACTAGGTGTTGCAAAAAAAGGCAAAACAAAATAGCGAAAAAGGCAGGAAAAGGCACTAGGTATTGCAAAAAAAAACAAAATAAGTTACTAAAAAAAGACAGAAAATACGAAGAACAATCAAAAAATACATTTATTTTAGAAATGTTTATATTACAAGTAAAAAGAGAAAAACTATGAATTAGTTTCATTATATGAAAAATTTGTACTTTTAATCTTTGACTATTTTATCCTTTCGAGTTTCTAACTCATAAAACTTTAATCTGTATAATTGTAGTAACATTGAACCACAAGATGCATTTTGAAGTTTTCTGGCAGCATTTTCATTCGATTTTCGCGAAGAAAAGCCTTGAATGTACTAAATGTGTGCTCGACGTAAATTGATACAAGCGGCGCCCAATTTAAATATGGAACGTTTGAAACGTTCATATTATCAGGAATAAGGGCGTTTTCCTCGCCCTTTATAATTTTATCTACACCCCTTATTGTCTCCAAGCCTTCGTTAGCTGAGAAAACGGCTTTGAATTTTTCCAACACCAATTTGGCAAGAGGTCTCTGCGCTTAAAAAAAAATTGTAAATGCTATAATCACTTTTTTAAAGGTAGAAAAGGCAAAAAAGGCAAATATCTTAAAAAAGGCAAAAAAAGGCAACATCAAATGTGTATATATGGAATCAGCGAAAGCTAAATCGTGGACATTCTTAATCGAATATACTAAATCTCTTTAGTAGAAAAAAAGGCAATTTCCATAAAATCCGTTCCCTGATAATTACCATTCGTACTGTCATCAGGTATGTAACTTGAGAATAGAAATTGCTGCATCTTTTAGGCGCATCAATATTACATAGTTACATCCCGAGTTAATAAAAGGAAGGTAATAATAATAAAAACGAAAAGTGCATACACGCACAGTTTAGGTTGCAACTCGAACTTACGCGTATTTATTAAAAGAACCAAATTAATTTAATAATTATGTAGTAATACATAGATACATATATTTATGCCTAATGTGACCAACTATTTCATAGCTCAAAGAAGTACAGGTTAGGTTGGGTTACGTTAACGCCGTGAGCCGATTACGAAATTTCGAATTCGGCTAATCTCGATCCCTAAGAGCTCAGTGTTTGTTCAGAAGTGCGAGCGAAAATGCTTCCATTTTAGCCTCGCGAAGGTGGGACAGTCTAAAAGAAAGTGACGAACGTATTATTTTGAGTTGTGACTCTTTTGAAGACGGTGTGCGCTATATATGTTAATCGCCAGTGCAGTTTGCTCCATTAATTCCTGTTTTACTAGCGTAGCATTCTCTAGTGAGTTCCAACAGACAACGGCTCCTTAAAACAATATAGGCTTAAATCTGGTTTCCTAGAACTAATGAATTAATTTGGGCGAGAGACCCCACCTTTTACCGATAGCTTCCCTACACTAGTACAAGGCAACCGATACCTTTCCTACCCTCTCCTAAATGTTTGGCTTCTAAGACAACCGCCGTTGATCACCACGTCCAAATTTCCCTGCTGAAACGGCTGTTCTAGCCGATGAGCGTGACAGCCTTCGTCAGGCCGATCCCGGAGATCCCCGTATCAACCCCCCGAAGACCTGTAACTTCACCTCTGGTGTGAGTAAGCTATGGTCAACTGTGAGGTCACTGTCCAATCGAACGAAGCACGACGACAGAGTCGAAATTTCTTTCGGCGACCATGCCTCGTCGGACCCGGAGCGATGCGCGAGCTACTTTAGCCGGCAGTTCATACTACATCGTCCGGTGGACAAAACCAAGCGTCGAGTGACCAGAAGGCTGCACAAACTGCCAACAAGTTGTGCCCCCCTTGCTTTCACCTGCGGTGAAGTTAAGGTGGCCATCGGGAAGGCGAAAGCCTCCAAGCCATGGGTCCCGACGGAATATGCATGCTGATGCTTAAAAATTTGGAACCTGCGGGAGTAGCGTACCTAACGGAGGTCCTCAATTTGTCTATGGCCACTCTCATCATCCTAGACATCTGGAAGGTGGGGAGAGTGGTCCCACTGCTCAAACCGGGGAAACCCGCCAACAAAGGAGATTCGTATCGATAACACTCCTTTCCCCGGTAGCGAAGACACTTGAGGCCCTGCTGCTCCCGTATTTCGCGAACCACCTGACCCCAGCGAAGCATCAGCATGGTTTCCGTAAAGTGCACAGTACAATAACAGCACTTAACGCCAAAACACTCAGATAACTTGTGGCTTTAACCGTAAACGTCCCTGTGAGAGAACGATTCTAGTATCGTTGGACCTGTCAAAGGCTTTTGACACTGTCAACCATTCCACGCTAGTAGAAGATATAGAGGATTCCTCTCTCCCACAGAGGCTCAAACGGTGGTCGGCAAATTAACTGAGTGGTCGACACTCGTCGGTAATGTTTAGAGACAAATCGAGCAAACTTAGAAAAATAAAACAGGGGGTTCCACAGGGTGGTGTCCTTTCCCCGCTACTGTTTAACTTTTACATTTCAAAGCTCCCTCAACCACCAGAGGGATTCTCGATTGTCTCTTACGCCGACGATTGCTCGATCATGGCGACTGGGAATGGAATTGATGACCTGTGTTCGAAAGTAAACGGGTATCTCTCCGAACTTTCTCGCTTCTTCACTGAAAAGTGTCTAGCCCTGTCCCCTACGAAATCCTCTGCGACGGAGGAGGTCAGGCTACCGCTGGGAATTTACGTCGATGACACACCAATTCCGACGGTGAATAATCCCAAAATACTCGGAGTAACATTCAACAGCCTGCTCTCTTTCTCTGCGCACGCAACCGCTATTGTCAATAAAGTACAGAGCCGCAACAAGGTCCTCAAG